AGGCCGGCCTGGAGGGTATGAGACGAGGGGCGAGCAGAGTCCATGTCCAAAGTGCTTCCGCAGGTCCATGCGCCGGCTGTGACTGCAGAACCCAGTGACCGCACTTAGAGACGGCCCGGGAGCCAGGCCGGGGGGCTCAGTGGGTAGAGCGTCGGCCTGCGGACTGAAGGGTCCCGGGTTCGATTCCGCTCAAGGGCACAGACCTCGGTTGCAGGCTCCTCCCCGGCCCAGGCCCTGGTCGGGGCGCGTGCAGGAGGCAACCCATCGATGTGTCTCTCACATCGATGTTTCCCTCTGTCTCTCCCTCTCTCTTCCACTCTCCCTAAAAATCAATGGGAAAATACCCCTGGGTGAGGATTAACAAAAACGAAATCATAAAACGCACGGAAGCAGGTGGGGACCCAGCTGCCCGCGCTCAGCGAGTTCCCTCTGCGGGCGGGGCTGTGCCTCGGGGTGAGCTCACTTGGGGGGCAGGCGGATCCAGTTGGGGTGAGGCCTGGGCCCCGGCCCGCAGGGGAGGTGGCCCAGGGGAGGGGTGCCCCCAAGAAATACCCTCACTTGGTCACAGACACCCTTCCCCTTGACTTGCCGTGGCCGAGAGGTGAAGCCGTGGGGACGAACAGTGGTGACGTTTGAGGGGGACCCAGCCTCGCCTCTAATACCGCGGTCTCCCCTCGGTCTGGCCCCTGCGAACGGTGTTTTGTCTCCAGAAGGAGGCAGGCACCTCCTTAGGCGTCGTCACCGCCGAGGGTTTAAGTGCAGCTCCCGTCGGCCTGCTCTCCGCGGCCCGGCCTCGCTCACTGTCTGCTGACGCTCCGTTTTTGTCAACAAGAGTCAGCCGTGCGGGCGCTGCCGGCCCTCCGTCCCGATCGATGCCTGGAAGTCACCCCCAGCTCCGCGGAGGGCACAGCTCTTAATTCACTGAATAATTAGATTTCCATGAGAATCAAAGGGCCCGGCGGTGACAGCACGGACCGGAGCGCCCCGCACACCGCGGCGGCTTTGTCTGGAAGCCGCTTTATGTTTTCATGGAAGAAAGCCAATTAGCGATAAACTGATTACTAAGAACATAATCAGGGTCATTTCTCTGCAACAAATCAATCAACAAAATGCTAATCGCCGCCGGTCTCCGAGGCTCGGAGTAATCTGCCGGTCACTCCTGGGCCGGTCCTGATGGCAGCCAGAGGGCACGGCGTCTTTGCTGACCGCGCAGTCCCGGGACTTGCTTAATGGAGAAGGAGGGCCGTCCTCGTCCTCGTCCGGGACCTGCAGGGATCGGACGGGCCGTGCAGGGGGAGGCCTTTGGAGGTGCTCCCGGGAAACGCCACCCCGTGCTGAGCGATTTCAGAGAGGAAGGGAGAGGGGGCGAGAGATAGAGACATCTGTGATGAGAGAGAATCATTTCAGAGAGGAAGGGAGAGGGGGCGAGAGATAGAGACACCAGTGATGAGAGAGAATCACCCATCCGCTGCCTCCTGCACGCCCCACACTGGGGATCGGGCTCACAACCAACCCGGGCATGTGCCCTGACCAGGAATCGAACCCGGGACCCTTCAGTCTGCAGGCTGATGCTCTATCCACTGAGCCACACCATCCAGGGCTGCATTTGCATTTTTATGGTGCACATAAGGGAGGTTTTTCTGGAAAGCAGACTTGTAAATTCAGGTCTATGCACGCACATTGCACACACACACTATACACTGCACACTCTCACACTCACTATACACTGCACACACACACACAAACACACACTCACACACACACTATACACTGCACACTCTCACACTCACACTCTCACACTCACACACTCACACTCACACACTCACACACACACTATGCTCTCACACACTCACACTGCCGGAGGCACTAACGTGGGGACGGTGCGCGGCCTGTGGGGCAGGATGAGCAGTGCTGACCCCTGTGGCTCCCCAGGAGGCTGACCCTCCCTGCCGGTCCGTCCCCGAGCCCGTTTCACACACACACACTATACACTGCACACTCACACACACACACACCACACTGCACACTCACACACACACACTATACACTGCACACTCACACACACACACACCACACTGCACACTCACACACACACACTATACACTGCACACTCACACACACACACACCACACTGCACACTCACACACACACACTATACACTGCACACTCACACACACACACACCACACTGCACACTCACACACACACACTATACACTGCACACTCACACACACACACACCACACTGCACACTCACACACACACACTATACACTGCACACTCACACACACACACACCACACTGCACACTCACACACACACACTATACACTGCACACTCACACACACACACACCACACTGCACACTCACACACACACACTATACACTGCACACTCACACACACACACACCACACTGCACACTCACACACACACACTATACACTGCACACTCACACACACACACACCCCACTGCACACTCACACACACACACTATACACTGCACACTCACACACACACACACCCCACTGCACACTCACACACACACACTATACACTGCACACTCACACACACACACACCCCACTGCACACTCACACACACACACTATACACTGCACACTCACACACACACACACCCCACTGCACACTCACACACACACACTATACACTGCACACTCACACACAAACACACACTCACACACACACTATATACTCACACACACTAAACACTGCACACTCACACACACACTATACACTGCACACTCACACACAAACACACACTCACACACACACACTATACACTCAATATACTCACACACTCACACACTATACACTGCACACTCTCACATTCACACACTCACACTCACACTCACACACACACACTCACACACTCACTGCCTGAGGCACTAATGTGGGGACCGTGCGCGGCCTGTGGGGCAGGTGAGCAGTGCTGACCCCTGTGGCTCCCCAGGAGACTGACCCTCCTGCCGGTCCGTCCCCGAGCCGGCGCTCAGCGAGGGCAGCTGGGCGGAGCCATGGGACAGAGACCCCAGGAGGAGGGCGTGGGGGGAGACGTGGGCCCAGCTGTTCCTCAGGGGCACGTCCAGGTCCACCCCCGTGGGAGTTGCGTTTGCAGTGACTTCAGGACACGCTGTGGGGACAGCGCTCACCTCAGTTGTGGTGAGAGCCGTTTCCCTGCAGCACGGGAGGCCCCGCTGTGATCGCCTCCACGCTCCGCTCTGCTCCCCACCCCAGCCGCTCATCCTCCACCGAGCCCCGGTGCCCGCCCAGGACACAGCCCCGGTGCCCACACATACCAGAGCCCCATTCGTGGCCCTCGCGGGTGGGCTCCATGTCCCCGACCTGTGCGTGGGCGTCTGTGGCTCGCCCAGCAGTGGCCTCCTCTGCCTCCGGGTCATTCCCGCCCGGGCTGGGGGTTGGTGCCGCCATCTTCCTATCAGAGTCAAGCCCCTTGAAGTTAGAGGATGCGAAATCCCTGAAGAAGTGCAGAGTGTCGCCGAAACCGGTTTGGCTCAGTGGATAGAGCGTCGGCCTGCGGACTGAAGGGTCCCAGGTTCGATTCCGGTCAAGGGCATGTACCTAGGTTGTGTGCACATCCCCAGTAGGGAGTGTGCAGGAGGCAGCTGATCAATGTTTCTCTCTCATCGATGTTTCTAACTCTCTATCTCTCTCCCTTCCTCTCTGTAAAAAATCAATAAAATATATATTTAAAAAAAATAATTCTTTATTGTTGAGAGTATTACATATGTTCCCTTTTTTCCCCCATTGAAGCCCTCCAGCTGACCCCCACCCCCCACCCCAGACCTTCACCCCCCTATTGTCTGTGTCCATGGGTTATGCATATATACATACAAGGTCTTTGGTTGATT